TTCTCCGAGGCCCTGAGGCGTTTTTTTTTTTCCTTTTTTTGTTTTTTCTTTTCTTGCATTGGAACTCCTGAGGCATTTTTAAGGTCTGTGGTGTGTCATCTTGAGGTGCATACAATTTTCTGACCTAGGGAGGCTGAACTCGTCTCCCCTCCTGGGGTCTCTGGCAGCATCTGAGAATTAGGTTGACATGAAACAGAATTAACAGGAGAAAGCTCTCGAATGTTATTTTTCAGGCACATAGGAGACTTGGGAACGTGGAGATCCCCGAAGCAGTTAGGCCTGAGGGCTTCCATGCCCAAGAGTAGCGACTGAACAGTAGTGAACAAGTTTCTGAAATATGTGAGGAGGCCGAGAGAGCCAAGGCTTGGTTTGTGCAGGTGTCCCTCAGCCTCAGCTCCGCAGTGCTGGTGATGAGGCATCCTCTTCCTCTACACGGAGGGCGTGTTGCACGTGGGGTTTCATCTGCTGTCAGGAAGGAACAGGGAGGCAGAGCCCCCTTCTTGCACCTGCTGTTGGCCCCGTGCGTTTGGGGCTGCCCTGGGGTGACCTGTTCTGTCTGGCGTCTTCACTGGCCGGCCCCCTAGCATCCAGCCACCTCCCAGTCCCGATGCGTAGCCCAGTGGCTGTCCAGAACGCCCCTTTAGGCCTTTCCCCTTGATGAAGACGTAATTGCCTGTTATTAACAAAAATATTAGGAATAGGAACATAAAAAGGTTGAGATCACTCTTTTTTTTTTTTTTTTTTTAAAGATGGGGTTTCACCATGATGGCCAGGCTGGTCTTGAAGTCCTGACCTCAGGTGATCCACCCACCTTGGCCTCCCAAAGTGCTGGGATTACAGGCGTGAGCCCCCACGCCCGGCCGATCACTGACTCTTGATGCTGGGAGTGTGAGGTGTGCCAGCCGCCGTTCCCCTCCGGCTCCCGTGGAGGAGGGGTGACTCCGTCCATCTCTGTCCATTCCCGCTGTGGGTTTGGTAGGTTCCCGCTGGTTACCCGTTTCGGAACCTCACTGTCTTGGCAGCTCTCTGCAAGAAGCATTTCCTGAGATGTGGGCTTTCCCGGCCTCTGGAAAGGCAGAGCCAGCCTGAGCAGGGGCTGGGAGCATGTTACAGCAGTTTAGCCTGAACGCCTCTATCCCAGGGACCCAGAGCCTTCTCGAGTGTGTGAGGGGAGGTCGGCCTGTCCTTCCGCGTGGGTCTCACCTTTTCCTGAGAGGGTCTGGCAAGGGACTGAGGGTTGGGATTTCTCGAGTCGGGTCTCCGGCCTGTGCTTTGCCCAGACCCATCCGTTGGTGTGCTCACCTGCCTATGCCTGGTGCTGCCTTGGGTGCTAGGGACCCATGGGTGTCAGAGTGGGCACCGACATCACAGGAGCCCGGGAGGATGGGCCAGCTAAGCAGACACGGAAAGTGGCAGAGTAGCAGGATTAGGAGGAGAAGAGCAGGCAGGTGGGGACCTTGAGAAGGGGGGGCCTCACTTAGAGTCCAGAGGCAGCTGGGAGGGCCACCTTTAGTGCCTCCTGCTGCTGAAGCTGGGAGTCTCCTGGGAGTCCCTGGGGCTCTGTGCTGCACGGACCCTGCTCCTGGTGCTGCCACCAGTGCTGCTCTTCACGTGCTGCAGGGGACCCGAGGGTCTGGCCCTTGAGCCTCAAGTTCCACATCTGTGAGACAAGCATCAGAACAGTGCCCACCTCTCAGGGATCCGCTGTGCTTCAGAGGCCTTGCAGTCCTCCCACAGCAGCTGCGGCGTCTCCTGCAGCCCCCAGCACGCCCCTCCGCTTCACGCCCCCATCCAGGGCCTGCTTCCGGGTGCCTCCGTTCTGAGGGCCCCCCAGCCTCCCTATCAGAGCTGCCTGTCCCTTCTTTCCCCTGGCCCCCTCCCGATGTGCTTCCTTCCTGCTGTCTGTGAGCCTTGGAGGCGGGACTCCGGCCGTCCTGGTCACTCCGTGTCTCTCGGTCACCCTTGTGGCTCCCAGTGACTCCATGTGTCCCAGTGACCTTCGTCTTTCCTGGTGACCCCGTGTCTCCCGGTCCTCACAGGCGCTCAGTGAATGAGGACCCTGGAGAGTGCGACCGGCAGGATCGGGCATCAGCAGGGAATGTAGGGGTGGGTGGTTCCAGCAGAGACTTGGGCCCCGATGGTCTGGGTGTGAACTGTGCCTCTGTGCCCCACCTTTCCCTTCTCCTTTCCCCACTGAGATGTTGGGACTCCGTGTCCTCATCTGTGTAATGGGGACAGCGGTCAGACCTACCCCGAGGGCTGTGGGGGACCCCAGTTCACAGTTGGTCAACCGTCTAGAGCAGGGCCTGGAACTGTGGGGTGGGGTGGCCTGGGGCTGCCAAGTGACCCACACAGCAGATCTGTGCGCGTGAATTTACGTGATGGAACACGTCCTGAGTTCTCATCTGACTCTCACCCGCTTCCTCAGTGGTGGGTGGGCAGCACCCAGCAGTGGGGCTGGGTCCCTGCTGCACCTGGGTAGTGCTGAGAAACTCGGTTCAGCTGGGTTCTGCCAGTGCTCCAGTGGACGCCCCGGCCCCCTTGTTTCCGCACGCTGGTCGGCAGAGCCCACCCTGAATGAGAGGCGATGGATGCAGGCTGAGAGTTCCTCAGAACTGAGCGCAATCAGCCTAGGCGCCTGGCCTGGGTTTCTCTTCTGGTGTTCAGGTTGTTGGGGGGAGGGAGTCGTGCCCGCCTGGGAGTGAAGTCACACTGGGGAACAGGCTGCTCATGGCTGGTCAGGCCTTGTGCCCGCCTCCAGCTCAGTGCCCAGCTCTGATCAAACACAGAATTGAAGCCCCTTGGGGGCTCGGGCCTGTGGGTCTCCTCCCCACAGAGACGGAAACGAGCATCCACAGGAATACACAGATGGTCGCCAGCAGTGACCTGGAGTGTTCACCAGGCCCATAGTAGTCCACCGGCGACGCGTGGGTGCGTGGCCCACTGTGACCGGCTGCACGCGGGGTGGGGTTCAGCCCGAGACAGGAGCGAATCACCCGGCACGCCGCAGCGCCACGCTTGTGGGAGAGGACAGACAGGGAGGGACAGGTGCAGCCCCTTTCCTGGGCAGGGCACATGGCAGCCAGTCCAGAGGGACGGAAGGGGGTTCAGAGGCTGCAGGACGGCCCGGCCGGGGAGTGCGGGTGACTGCCCGGCCTGGGGGCTTTCGTGGCTGTTGTAAAGTCAATGTGGCGTCGGCTGTGAAACTGAATGTACTAAATAGCACTGCGTCGTACCCTTTAAGTGGGGGTGTTGTGGAAGGGAGTCACAGCTCAGTGAAGCTGTTCTTAATAAAGTGTGGGCCCTGGGGTGTGAGCGCTGGACCTGGCATCGGGAGGCTGTGGCTCCTCAGGCAGGTTTCTCAGGTCTCCTGCAGGAGGCTCCCCGGGAGGCCTGGTGTCCGCAGCCCTGTCTCCTGCAGGTGCTGGGTCGGTGGGCCGAGCCCCAGAGCCCTACTGCGGGATGCAGGAGGCGTTTTGTTTTAGGCTGGTCAAGTGAAGCCGTGGAGAGGGAACAAAGAGCTCTGGGACTGGTGAGCAGCTCTAAACACCGCTGCCTTTGGCAGGCAGGATATTGTTTTAAATTGCCCTTATTTGGCTGTGGAAATTGGCAGCCCTGTGTGTCTGCCCCGTGGAGTTTTGCTGAGGCGCTCCTAGTTGACGAAACCCTGGCCTGCGTTTGGAAAGCGGGGAGGGCACGCTGGCCGCGGCCCCGCCTGGCCCTGATCTGCGCCAGAGTTAGGTTCCCTCCGCACCTGCTGAAGGGTGGGGGAGGGGCTGCCTCACAGCTGGTTTCATTTTGTTTTTCTATTTGGTTTAGTTTTTGAGACTCTTGATCTGTCACCCAGTCTGCAGTGTGAGCTCGGCTCACTGCAACCTCCGCCTCCTGGGGTTAAGCGGTTCTCCTGCCGTAGCCTTCTGAGAAGTGGGGATCACAGGCATGTGCCACCACGCCGGGCTAATTTTAGTGTTTTCACTGGAGATGGGGTTTCGCCATGTGGGCCAGGTCGGTCTCGAATTGCTGACCTGCACTGATCCGCTTCCCTTGGCCTCCCAAAGTGCTGGCGTGACAGGTGGGAGCCACCGCGCCTGGCCAGGGAGCCTGTTGCAAAAGGGAGAAGAGGCACGAACTCCGTCGACAGCTCGTGCGCGTGGCCCAGGCTCTGCTGCCCGCTTCAGCTGCGTGTGTTGGGGGCTCAGGTTGGTGTGGTGCGTGGAGACCCTCACGGTGTGTGGTCGGGTTGTGTGGTGCATGGAGACCCTCACGGTGTGTGGACGGGTTGGTGGTGCGTGGAGACCCTCAGTGTGTGGATGGGTTGGTTTCTTGTGGAGACCCTCAGTGTGTGGCTGGGGTTGGTGGTGTGTGGAGACCCTCAGCGTGTGGACGGGTTGGTGTCGTGTGGAGACCCTCGCTGTGTGGACGGGTTGGTGTCGTGTGGAGACCCTCGCTGTGTGGACGGGTTGGTGGTGTGTGGAGACCCTCAGCGTGTGGCTGCGGTTGGTGTCGTGTGGAGACCCTCAGCGTGTGCACGGGTTGGTGTCGTGTGCAGATCCTCGGGGTGTGGACGGGTTGGTGTCGTGTGCAGACCCTCACACGCCTGCTGCCCTGTTCCTGCTGTGACGTGCCCATATCTGCCAGGGTGTGGGAACTTCAGTCCCCTCTGGATTGGCCTGAGTGTTGCATGGACACTGTCTTGTGCACAGTTGCCTGAACACATTCTCGGTCTTGCCAGTGGGGAGACTGGGGCAGAAGGTGGGGTTGCCGGCCCCAGGTCTGGCTGGGAGTGGTGGAGCTGGACGGGAAGTGGCAGTGGCGGCAGCCTGCGTGCGTCCCCGGGTTCTTTCCGTGGCCTTGGCGAGCCCTCGGTGGGGAGCAGGCAGGTCGGCTGTGGCCCATTTCTCGCCGTCCTTGGTTAGGCGCTGCGTGCCTCGTCTGCCAGGCCCTTGGTGCAGCCTGGCATCCTGTAACCTCTGTCCTTCCATCTCTTCCCCTTCTCACAGGGACCCAGACATGGAGCTGCGGGAAGAGGCGTGGTCTCCGGGGCCGCTGGACTCTGAGGACCAGCAGATGGCCAGTCACGAGAATCCAGGTGAGCAGCTTAGTTCCCAGCTGACCCTGCTGCCATCCCGCTGGCCCTGGCTTCCTTTGCCTCCAGGGGGGAGGAAGCCACCTTCTTACCCGTTTTTCTCTCACTGGGGTGGGGGTAGGGGGGCACGACACCACCTGACCCGAGCCGTCCCGATCCCTGACCCCTGACTGATCCTTGCACTCCTAGCTGTCGAGGGAGGGGCTGGGGTTGTGGCTCCGTTTCCCTTCCGCTGGATGATCGTGGGGACCCCTGGGGGCCACCCTATTTGCCTGACTTTCTCTCCTTGCCCCCAGCCTAGCAGCACCCCTGTTGAGGGTGCCTCCTTCCCCTCCTCAGAGGCTGGACCCTCCACTGTGATTTTGGACAGCCCTGTGACCTTCCCTGGCAGGAAACTCCTTAGACTAGGGGTGGCACAGGAGTGTGGGGAACCTATGGGCCGACACTGACTTTTCAGGCAGAGCTGCCAGTTTGGGTTATGTGAAATCCTTCACGTTTTGGACATTGTCACCGTGTATTGTTTAGTATAAAGTATTTTTTGGGTTGTTCAAAACTCATTTGTGGGCTACTTGGGGCCCAGGTTTGCTCCCTAAGGCCCCACGACGACCCCACCATGGCCGCTGACACCTCCCGGCCTCCCTCTCGTCCACGGCGGCTGCGTGCCTGCCGTGAGACCTGCGGAATAAGGTGTGGCTGCGTCTCGTGGTTGTGTAAGCACAGCAGGCCCCACGCTGGCCCGGGCTCAGCAGACCTCTCCACAGAGGGCCAGAGAGGAAATACTTTCCGTCTGGCAGGCTACAGGCCTTATGGACATCACACAGCCACAGTCCACATGGGAACGCGTGGGCGCAGCGTGTCGGGGAGACGCCACGTAGAAAGACAGGCGGCAGAGCCTGCCAGCCCCAGAGAAAGACCGCGGTGAAGCTGGGGCTGGATTTTGTAAAGCCCTTTTCGAGAGATTTCTGAGATCCGTGGATGGATCTCCCCGCTACCTCCCCAGCCTGTCTGTGGAAAAACTGTCTTCCACAAAGCCGGTCCCTGATGCCAAAGGGGGCCCCTGGTTTAGAACGAGCCGAGATCATTGTCACTGCACTCCAACCTGGGAGGCAGAGCGAGACTCCATCCCAAAAAAAGAAAAGCAGCAAAAGCAGTGGGTACAGTTGGGGCGCTGGGTGCCGCTGGGACTGACAGGGTTGAGCTCTCCAGCTCTGTGTTGGAAGTGTTACTGTCTGCCGCTGTTGTGCTGGAAGGTTCACGTCTAATGAAACTGCAGCTCCCCAGGGCAGAGGTCCCGCTTTGGGTGATGTGGAGTTGAGGCCCCCCCTCAATGCCCACGGGACCTGAGCTGAGTCCTTCAGTCAGTGAGGGAAGCGCAGTGATGGTGTCCGCCGTGGATTAAACGTGGTAATCCGTGGAACACATTTAGCCCAGGGCCAGGCATCTGGGGACACCGCCCTCCCTCCTCCCCTCCCCCAAGGCTAAGTGTGGCCACCTGCAGAGTGGTCCTGGCCCTCCTGGTTGCTTATGTTTTTAAAGGAGTGAGAACTCTCTGCTCCTCCGCGTGGCTCTTCTCTTTCTGGGAACCTGTTGAATCCCTTTAAAGATGGTGCTGTGAGGTGGAGAGAGCTGTTAGCCTCTTCGCATCTGTGAGAGGGAGGCTGCTGTCGCGCAGCTCCAGGAAGCAGAGTGGCCTGTCCTGGCCCTTGCTCGCTGTAGATGCGGGCTTGTCAGAAGCGGCCTGGCCCTCCGACACGCGGGTTCCTCCTGGCTTCTCTGAGGTGCAGTGCAGGAAAATGTGCCAGAGCCCAGGAATCTGCAAGCTGTGAAAGAGCCCTGCCTTTTAAGTAATTAAATGATGTCCATGTAGTGCCCCTGTAGAGAAGCCACAGTGCCCAGGGGCTGAGGCAGGAAACAGCTCCTGCCTCCTGCCCGCCCCCACTCCCAGCTTGCCTGTAGAGGAAGGAGCCCCTTCACACACTCTGGGTTTCTCCCTGGTTCTGGGTCAGGAGCTCGGGTAATTGCTCTCCCCACCCTCCACGCACAGCATGCCTGCCCCAGTGCCCCCGACTCACCTGCCACCGTGTCACAAGGGTTGCGTTCAGAATTCACGTCGTCACGACACCCGAGTTCACAGGGAGCCTTGCTATATGTTCTTCACAACCTTGAAAACAAAGTGAGTTTAAAGCGTAGCAGCACTTGGAAGGTTCAGATAGTATGACTGAGTTTACAGTGATAACCAAATCTTTCCTACCCGTCTCTTTCTGTCTACTTCACTGACTGCCCCGGGGCAAATGACTTCTGATGCCGGTTGTCTCTACATCTTTAAGTAATGTGCTTATCACATTTCTTGATTCATGTTGACAGTGCAGGGGCTCCATGCTCTCTCTCCAGAAGGTCCCCGCTTCCTTCCTTCACCTGGAGTTTTTTCTTCTGCCCCAGGTGATTCAAGAGCCATGTTGGAGTACTCTTTACTTGGAATAGCGATTCTCACCCAGAAGCATCAGAATCACCGGATGGCTTGCTTAAGCATAGGCCCTGGTCCGGGGAGTTTCTCAAACAGTGGGTCTGGATGAGGCCTGAGCATGAGCAGGTTTTTTGTGTGTGTGAGCATCTGGCTGTACCGCACAGGCTGGAGTGCAGTGGCACGATTTCAGCTCGCTGCAGCTCCACCTCCCGGGTTCAAGCCATTCTCCTGCATCAGCCTCCGGGGTAGCTGGGATTTTAAGTGTGGACCACCACACCTGGCAAATTTTTGTATTTTTAATAGAGAGGTGGTTTCACCATGTTGGCCAGGCTGGTCTCGAACTCCTGGCCTCAAGTGATCTGCCCACCTTGGTCTCCCAAAGTGCTGGGATTACAGGCGAGAACCACACTGCACCCGGCTGTGCATAAGCATTTTTAATATGTTTTCTGTGGTGCCGAGGCTGCTGGTTGCAGGGTCCCACTTGGTGGCACGTGTAGGGTGTGCTGTGTGTGGGGTGGGGGATTTAGTGGTGGGCGGCTGTTTCTTGGACCCACACTACTAATGTGCTTCTGGGGATTGCCACTTTGCAGTTGTGTGGCTGTGGGCTGTGACTCAACTTCCTAGTGCCTCAGTTTCTCCTGGTAAAGGCTTAGTTTTGTGGCTCCCCCGATGAAGACTTGATGGATGTGGAAGTGTGTCACGCAGAGGACCGAACGGCCCTTCCTTGTGTGTTTGCCAGCATGGTGTCTAATGGTCTGGGCTCTGTGTGCTGGGCACTGTGCCAGGTGTTGGGATGGAGATTTAGGAGCTTACAGTCTATAGTGAGGTCATTAGTGAGAACGTTGTGAGTCATGCATTGAAGAAACCCTGTGGGGTACACCTGGGGTGTCTATGGGGGTGAGAGATTGACCTATTGGGGCCCCCCACACCTGATTCTATAGCTCTGGACTAGGCCCTGCAGGGAGAGTGAATGTAGAAGCTGCACATAGTCCCTTCTGAGGAGCTAGGAGGTGGGGAAGAGCCAAGCCCACCCCTCCGGGGAGGCCCTCCCTTCCCAACGCGGGCCTAGTGCAGAGCAGGAAAGGCCTTGCTGGCTGCAGTGAGGGCGTCATCGGTGTGCAGATGTGCTGCCAAAGCAGACAGGAGTCCGTCTCCCCCCCCCACCCCCCGGTTCTGGCGGGAGAGCCTCTGGAGTGGAGGCTGCATTGAGCGGGGTTGTACTCTCAGGCTGTGAGGCGGGGCTTTCATGCTGGCGTCCAATCCCGTTCCCTGCCCCCTGCCCACTCCACCTGTAACCAGGACTGTCTTCCTGGAGCCCAAACGAGACACCATCACTGCCCTGAGGGCACCAGTACAGGGTGCCGAACCCACCGGCTGGCTCAGGCCACGTGTCCAGGGTTGCACTCAAGCCCTGCGGCCTCTGCCCAGCGGTGCCTTTAGCCCTGGCCTTCCTCATCCTGTGCCCCTGCGTCCAGGCTGGCGCTTTCGGGTCCCAGGGTCCTTTTCTGGGAGCCCTGTATGGGTCTCCCGCCCTAGCCTCTTATGTTGACTGTTTACAGACTGGGCCTTCTGTGTTGAGGGCATTGTTCTAGAGCTTGGGGGTAAACTGTCTTAACTCTTAGTTGGGGAGAGGGGTAATAAACATCTAGTAAAATGCAGGGAATGATGTGTGCTCTGAAGACACCAGGGCAGGTCCCGCGCCAAGGCGAGCCTGGAGAAGCCCCGCGGTGAGCGAGGCAGCCGAGGCCTGATGGAACCCGTGCCTGACCCACCCCTCCTACCGTCTTGCCTTGCAGTGGACATCCTCATCATGGATGACGACGACGTCCCCAGCTGGCCTCCCACCAAGCTGTCCCCGCCCCAGTCCGCGCCCCCAGCTGGCCCCCCTCCCCGGCCGCGGCCGCCGGCCCCCTACATCTGCAACGAGTGTGGCAAGAGCTTCAGCCACTGGTCCAAGCTGACGCGGCACCAGCGCACGCACACGGGGGAGCGGCCCAACGCCTGTGCCGACTGCGGCAAGACCTTCTCGCAGAGCTCCCACCTGGTGCAGCACCGGCGCATCCACACGGGCGAGAAGCCCTACGCCTGCCTGGAGTGCGGCAAGCGCTTCAGCTGGAGCTCCAACCTCATGCAGCACCAGCGCATCCACACGGGCGAGAAGCCCTACACCTGCCCCGACTGCGGCCGCAGCTTCACGCAGAGCAAGAGCCTGGCCAAGCACCGGCGCTCGCACAGCGGCCTCAAGCCCTTTGTGTGCCCGCGCTGCGGCCGCGGCTTCAGCCAGCCCAAGAGCCTCGCGCGCCACCTGCGGCTGCACCCTGAGCTGTCGGGGCCCGGCGTGGCGGCCAAGGTGCTGGCGGCCAGCGTGCGCCGGGCCAAGGGGCCCGAGGAGGCGGCGGACGGCGAGATCGCCATCCCGGTGGGCGACGGCGAGGGCATCATCGTGGTGGGCGCGCCGGGCGAGGGGGCCGCGGCCGCAGCAGCAGCCATGGCAGGTGCGGGTGCCAAGGCCACCGGGCCCCGCTCGCGGCGCGCCCCGGCCCCCAAGCCGTACGTGTGCCTGGAGTGCGGGAAGGGCTTCGGGCACGGGGCCGGGCTCCTGGCGCACCAGCGGGCACAGCACGGGGACGGGCTCGGGGCGGCGGGCGGCGAGGAGCCGGCGCACATCTGCGTGGAGTGCGGGGAGGGCTTCGTGCAGGGCGCCGCGCTCCGCAGACACAAGCGGATCCACGCGGTGGGCGCGCCCGCGGTCTGCAGCAGCTGCGGACAGAGCTACTACCAGGCCGGCGGGGAGGACGACGACGAGGAGGAAGAGGAGGGTGTGGGTGGGCGGTGCCCCGAGTGCCGCGCTGGGGAGGGCCGGTAGGGGTGGGGGCCCGGGGGCGGGCAGGGCCCCTCGGGCTTGGCGGGAATGACCACCATGTGCAAGACCAGGAGACCCAGGGAGAAGCGGCCAAGGGTGTGATGGACCCCGCGGCAGGCGTCCGGGGTCCCCGTCCCTCTGCCCCCTCACTGTCCACGTGGGCGCCGGGGGCCATACAGGGCCAGTTCACTTCTCCGCCTTGACACTCTGCCCCCTCAGCCTGGCCCGCCCTCCCTAAGTTCTCGGCCTGCGAGCCGGAGACGGACAATGGCAAGAACTGTAGCAGCCAGGGTCTCAAACAGCCAGGCCTTTTCCCTCCTACCCGGGGGGAGGGTGCTGCGAGGAAGGGCGAAATCGGGCCCTTTGCAGTTTAGAGGTTCCCAGAGAGGGAAGGGAAATAGGGGCCCCATTTTAGAATTTTCTTTGAATCAGCCCACCTTTTGACTCCCCCGCCTCCTCCCCAAAAATCCTTTTTTTTTTTCCTACCCTCTGGGTCCCGTCGTTTCTTAGAGCTCACGTCGTTCCTTCCCCCTCCTGGATTCCGGTAGCACAGGCTGCCCCTGTGCCCAGCGAAGCCCTGCAGGGGCGGGTGCCCGTTTGTCCCTGGCCTGGGTGGACCTGGTGGAGGAAGCGGGGGTAGATCAATAAATATGGCACTATCCAAACGTCCCCTTCGGCGTGGTTTTTGAGTTTGGGAGGGGTAAACAGAGGCTCCTGCCGGGCCGTGGCGGCAGCAGCAGCAGCAGAGTGGTGGGAGGGGCCCGAGTATTCTCACTGTACGTGGCAGCGGTCACAGGGCTTGGAAGTCCTGTGCGGATGGGTCGCTGTTGGGGCCAGGTCTGCTCGCTGCTGTGGAAGGAGCCCCACAGCCTCAGCCGCGCTCTTACAGGGGCGGCCAGCTTCCTCCGCTTTCCTAGCGTGTGGACTCCCACCCCTAACCTCCTGCCTCCGGGGAGGCTTGGCCTGCAGAAGGCGCACATCTCCGTGCCTGGGCCTGTGTGGGGGCCTGTCCTGTAGTTGCCTCTCCCTGCAAAGAAGGCTGGGAGAGGGGGACCGCCTGGGACAGGACACCCCCACGGGAGGAGGGTGCGCTCAGCGGTCTCTACTGCAGGGGACAAGCCAACCAGTGCCTTCGGGGGAGGGCAGGGATGCCACAGTGCAGCCCAGCGCTTACGGCGCTTCAGGCACTGTGCATGCCTGAGGGACTTGGTCACATGGAGCATCTCTGCCCTGCCAGGTGAGCGCTGTTCGTAATGGGTAGGGGGCCGTGCGGGGGGTGGGGGGACTCACCTGTGGCAACAGGGTTCCGGGACCCACAGCCCAGGTCCCCAGAACCGGTGTTCGTGGGGCCTTGGGAGGTTGCAGTGAGGGTCCCAAAGGGGTTTCCAACCTGGCCGAGGCGCAGTTACTCAGGAGCCATGAAGGAGGCACACTGCAGGCAGGCGTCTTTGGCTTCTGGGTTGGGTGGTTGAGAGGAGCTTGAAGGAGAAAGTTGGATTTCCAGTTAGAGCCCTGAATCTGCCCTTTCACACCCTGATGTGCTTGAGCAGGGTTCCTGGGGCCTCAGCAGGAGGATGGGGACTCAGAAACCAGGGCCACTGAAGGTCTACAGATCCCGAAGGATGTGTTGGAGGATGAGGGAGTGATTGTGGGTCAGAAAAGCACGTTCTCAGGTGGCCAGTGCCTTGCCGAGATAACTGGCATTGCATTTGTTTATTTTGGAATTTCAGGTCACTTGAAAGGAGGGGTGAAACTTGGTTTGTTCAGAGCAGGCTGGGTTAGCTGAGACTGAGGAAGCGTTGCTCAGTGCCCCACGATCATTCTGTGGAGCTCTGGCCTTGGACGCTCCTGGAGGCCTGGGAGAATGAGAGGTGCCCTGTAAGACTCAGCGACTTGGAGTCTCAGGCCTGCTTTCTCTACCTGCCCCGGGAAATGATGGCAGGAGCTGACACCTCAAGCAAGGAAGACCCAGGGCCAGTCTCTACCCTGCGCCTTCAGGCTGTGTGACGCTGGGCAAGTGGCCTCAACTCTCTGAGGCTTGGTTTCTTCCCCTGTGGAATGAAGAGCTTGCCTGCCTTGCGTGACTGTGTGTGGAGGGGATTCCCAAGCCTGTGTTTACCCACTAGAGGTGCTGTGCCTTCCCAGGCATGAGCAGAGAGGCCGGGAGGGGAGCCCGGCTCTAATCCAGGCTCTGCACTCATCCCCCAGGCTGCAGTTCACTCTGTAATCCAGAACCCAGCCGGCTCACATAACCACCATGATATCAGTTTGCACTGAACCCAGCAGTGGACCTGGGCTCTGGTGTCACGTGGCATTCATTATTGGTGTATTCATGCCCTCGGTTGGTCATCAGCCAGCCCTCACTCATATGGCAAATGTCTTTTGGGCACCAGTTTTCTGCCTGTTGGGCGCTGTGTCGGTCTCAGGTAGAGAAAGGAACGTGGGTTCTAATGGCAGCTGCCATCAGCCCTGTCGTTCACCTGTGTGGGAGCGGCTCACCCACCGCAAGGTGAGGCTGGGCAGCATTCCATGCTCACAAACCCTTTAACAAATTAGATGTTTATGGGGCACATCTTTCCTGCGAGGGACTCTGCTAAGCTTGGGGGCACAGCAGTGACCTCAACAGGCACAATCTCTGCCCTCCTGGGGGTGGGGGTGGCTGGGAGGGGACACGAACAGCTAAGGCCTGAAGGGACAGAAAGAGGCTCCCGGCCAGGCAGAGTGGCTCACACCTGTAATCCCAGCACTTTGGGAGGCCAAGGCAAGCGGATCACTTGAGGTCACGAGTTTGAGATCAGCCTGGCCAACATGGAGAAACCCTGTCTCTACTAAAAATACAAAATTAGCTGGGCTTGGTGGCCCATGCCTGTAGTCCCAGCTACTCAGGAGGTGGAGGCAGAAGAATCACTTGAACCCGGGAGGCAGAGGTTGCGCTGAGCCGAGACCGCGCCATTGCACTCCAGCCTGGGCAAAAAGAGCAAAACTGTCTCCAAAAAAAAAAAAAAAGGTGGCGGAGGGGTGGGGCACTCCTAGGAGGTAGGACGTGGAGGAGTCCTGGGCATGGGGCAGGTGTGACAGGCAGCAGTGCCCGGGGAGAGGGGCAGATAGATGAGTGGAAAGGGACTCTCCACCCGGCTTACTCTCCCCAGCCTGAAGGCAGCATTCATCTGTAAATGTTTACTCCATATATCCCCGTTTCCCTAAGGGTAGCCTGGAGAGTGTAGGTTCCAGGGAATATTGATGTTTGGAGAAAACAGGATCTTGTGTTAAAATAACCTGGGAAAATGCTGGATTCTTTTTTGTGTGTGTGCCTTTGTGAGATGGAGTCTCACTCTCGCCCAGGCTAGAGCACAGTGGTGCAATCTTGGCTCACTGCAACCTCTGCCTCCCGGGTTAAAGTGATTCTTTCTCAGCCTCCCAAGCTGGGACTACAGATGCCTACCACCACATTTGGCTCATTTTTGTATTTGTAGTAGAGACCATCTTTCACCATATTGGCCTGGCTGGTCTCGAACTCCATACCTCAAGAGGTTCACCCACCTCAGCCTCCCAGAGTGCTGGGATTACAGGTGTGAGCCACTGTGCCCAGCTGGATTCAAGACTTTTCACACAACAGTACTTGGCACCTGGAAGGTGCTGAGCCAAGATTTAGTTGACTGGATGAATTATAAAACTAGTCCCCCACACCCTCCCGGCCCAGAGCTTTCCACTGTGATTCTGTACACCCAGATGGGGCCGGGGGCCAGGGCAGGGGTAGGTGATAGCATGCAGCATTTTCTGAGCTTATTCTGTCAGGAAACCTCCCACTTACAGAGCATCTTGGAGCTGCTGTACTCCAGGCCATCCTTAGAGAAGTGCATGCATGTTGACTGTTGTGTGTATCTGCATGTATGAGTGCATGCCTGTGTATGTCTGTCTGTGCATGGTGTGTCTGTCTTTGTGCATACATATATCTGTATGTGCATGTGGGTAGGTGTGTGTAGGTGTCTGTGGTATACATCCACCCTTCCTGCCCCTTGTATTTATCTCTTGAAGAGGCTGTGGGTACAGACGGAGTTGTCTCTGGCACCACTGATTTTGCTGCCTCTCCTGCCTTGATAGACAAGTCTATGTAGACATTCCCTACCTTGGCCAGGCACTGTGGCTAGCGCCTGTAATCTCAGCACTTTGGGAGACTAAGGTGGGCAGGTCACAAGGTCAGGAGTTCGAGACCAGCCTGGCCAAAATGGTGAAATCGTGTCTGTACTAAAAATACAATTAGTTGGGTGTGGTGACGGGCACCTGTAATCCCAGCTACTCTAAAGGCTGAGGCAGGAGGACTGCTTGAACCTGGGAGGCGGAGGTTGCAGTGAGCCGAGATCGTGCCACTGCACTCCAGCCTGGGCGACAAGCCTGAAACCCCGTCTCAAAAAATAAATGAATAAAAATTTCCTATCTTCTGGTGCCTGTCTTTCAGCACCACGGACAGAGGTTTCCCTGTCATTCCCAAGCCCCCAGCTGGGTCTCCCATGATGGAGGTGACTTTAATGCAAACACATTGTCTTTTAAAGCCTCCTGACCACTTCAAAAACAGCATTCCCACTTTACAGATAAGGGAACAGAGGCTTTGGGGAGGTTAAATACTTCTCCAGGCTCTCACAACTGGTAAATAGCAGAGCTCAATACTCAGAATCTAATGCCAACACTTCCATCGGTCTCTGTCCCTTAAGAGATGCTTGTGAACTGGGGTGGTCACTAGCCATGGGAGCAAGTAGACTGGACGGACAGCCTCATTCAGGCTGGTGGGGACTCTGCCACCGGGATGTGGATCAGCAATTGTTTGGTCACAAAGAAGATTTTTTTTAAAAAAAGGAATGGATACTTGGAGGAAGAGATTACTCAACTCAGTCCGTGATTCCTCATTCCTCTCCCGGCATTATGCCTTGAAATACTTAGTGAATCTACAAGTGGGTTTTAAAAATAAATGTATCACCGGGCACAGTGGCTCACGCCTGCAATCCCAGCACTTTGAGAGACCTAGGTGGGTGGATCACCATACGTAAGGAATTCGAGACCAGCCTGGCCAACGTGGTGAAACCTCATCTCTACTAAAAATACAACAAATGAGCCAGGCGTGGTGGCGGGTACCTGTAATCCCAGCTACTCTGGAGACTGAGGCAGGACAATCACTTAAACCCAGGAGGCAGAGGCTGCCGTGAGCCGTGGTCACACCATTGCCCTCCAGCCTGGGCAACAAGAGCGAGACTCCGTCTACAAGAAAAATACATACAATAAATACGTTTATAAAATGGAAGAAAACCTTACATACTATTCTGCCGCTTGCATATCTGTAACATCACGTATCATCTATGCATCTATCAACTTTATCATCTTTCTACATATGCATTATCTATCATTTATATACCAGTCCTTCATCTTCTACTGTCATTCCATCTATTTATCAATCATCTGTATCATCTGCCACCTAGATGTAGGTATCATTTATGTATCAGTCATCTATCAATCATTGCACCATCTATGTTATCTATCAATCATGTATAATCTGTTATCTACCTATATCATGTATGTATCATCTATTATCTACTTATATAGGTATGCATCAATTTATCACCTACCTCTCCCTATCTTCACCATCTATTACCAATAATCTATTTGTGTACTATCATCAA